TAAAGAGTAGAATTGTAGAATGTGTTGTCGTCACTCCTTTCTAGAAGCCCAAGTTCATCTTTTGTCTACGCACCTCTGCACTTACCCCGGAACTAGATGAGTGGAAATGCCAGTGTGGCAGAGGAAGATTGGACCATGTGATGGATTTGTGGGTGTGGGGACAAGATCATGAACTTTCAACTGGGTGGAAACCCCAGGAAGCTTTCAGATTCGGGTTTCCACAGTTTGTACCAACATGTCTCTCTTATTAAATTGGAACTTTGATGAAAGTGATGCCTTGAACTCTGATTTAATTCTGGATATTTGGAACGCTGACAATTGCTAAAAATAGCCCCTTTGCTCTGAACATAAAGATCTTAAGTTGGGTTGTGTTTTTGAGTCCATCAAAAAAAAAAAGTCTGTCATGTTCAGAAGTACTTTCTTCTCCATGTCTCTAGGTTTGCTGTGTCCTTCACCGAAGCCATGAAAGAAGCAGCTGCAACGTATTGGGTAGGTGAGTCTTGGGGATGGAGGACATTTTTATTTTGCCTCTTTCTCTTTGTTTAATTTGCTTAACCTTGGTTTTGAACCTTCTTGGTTTTGAGCTTGAAGTTCTTCTGCAAGGAGTTTGCTCACCTGGCTTAAGTCATGCCAATCCTCCTCCTCCTCCTCCTCCTCCTCCTCTTCCTGGACCTTCTGTGGAAAAAACAGATGTGACGTTCTTGCGAAAAGACAGAATTGGTCCTCTTTGAAGCTACCTCTCCTCCTTCTCTTGATCTTCATCCTCATCATCAATGAAAAGATATCTCTTCTCCTCCTTTTCTTCTCCATTAACACCAGCATAACCTTGAGTGGGGAACACTCTTCCTCCTCCCTTCTGCCTGCTTCTCCTCTTCCTCCCCCTCCTCCTCATTAGGGATCTTCAAAGATAACAACAGATCTGACATTCATGTGAAAAGAGAGAAAATCATCTGAGACATATCCTCTTTTTGATCTTCTCTTCTTTTTCTTCTCCTTCTCCTTCTTTCTTCTTCTTCCTCCTCCTCCTCTTCTTTTTCTTTCTTTCCTTCTTCTTCTTCTTCTTCTTCTTCTTCTTCTTCTTCTTCTTCTTCTTCTTCTTCTTCTTCTTCTTCTTTTTCTTCAAGGTATCTCTTCCTCTTTTCCTCCTCCTCTTCTCCATCAACACATCAACTTGAATGGGAAACAGCCTTCCCTCCTCCTCCTCCTCTTCCACCACCACCACCACCTTGCACCACCACTTTCCCTCTGCCTTTCACTTTTCTCCTCTTGGCAAGCCACGCCCCCAACTTCAATTTCTGCAAGCCTCATTCTATTCATTTCTGTGCTCCATCTGTACCTCCCTTTGGCCCACAAATCAGCTCCTCAACCTTGTAGCATTCAGCAACGCTAGCCAAACACCTGCAATTCCAAAGTACGACATTTTTTAGAACCGGGTGGACACAAAGGGGACCTGCTAGGTTTGGGGGCTTATCTGTGCACTGGCAAACCAAGGTCAAGAGCCCTTGGGAACAGGACTGGCAACCTGAATGAAGGTAGAAAAACAAGGGTTATGGGTGGGAGAGCGAATTTAGGCTTGTGTCTGGCTTGAAAGCGGTAAAAAAAGACAGATTTGGTTCAGCAATGTTGGAGACTGGAGGAGAATTGCTTTTTGTGTAAATACAGTGTTTGATAGCAATCACAGACAGGCCTTTAATTTATTTCGATACCTTCAAAAAGAACTACTCTAGATAAGTGCCCTCCTCGGCTATGATTCTCTGCCTTGAAAACAAATTATGCCTCTTTTGTGGGCAACCTTCTTCTTCCTCCCCCCTCCATCTCTCTGAATGGCAGCCTTCATTAAATGTTCTTGTTTCTTTTTTCTTCCTTTTGATTTTTTTTAAAAAACCTCTGCAACGATGGCAGTGGGAGTTTGTCATTTGCCCAGGAAGACAAATAAGTCTAATAAAAGATAGAAAAATAGTGCTGGAGAATGACTCTCTCTCTTTCTCTCTTTTTCTTTCTCTCTCTTTCTCTTCCTCTCTCTCTCTCTTTCTCTCTCTGACTCTTATTCATTCTCTCTCTTTCTCTCTCCTTCTCTCTTTCTCCTTCCCTTTCTTTCCCTTTCTCTCTCATTCTCTCTGTTTCTCTCGCCTTCCTTTTCTCTCCCTCTTTCTCTTTCTCTTTTTCTCTCTCTTTTTCTCTCTTTTTCTCTTTCATTCTCTCTCTTTCTCTCTTCCCTCATTCTT